TGCTCGTCCGAGTGCAGCACCACTACAACTCCCACTACGAGAAGTTCGGAGACTTCGTCTGGCGCAGTGAGGACGAGCTGGGGCCCAGGTACCTGTCCTTTCCCTTCATCCTCCCCTGCCCTGCTGCCTTCTCCTTGTAGCTGAGAGAAGTCCCCTTTTGCTGTTGACCAAGCTGTCCCACCATCCCCTAGGACCACCAGGGTCTCCCAGCTTATGGGATGTCTAGCAGCTGGCTGGTCTTTGGATGGATGTTTGTGGAACATCTAGCAACCAGCCTGTACCAGGCAGGTGATCCTGCAGATGAGCTGGGTGCGTTGGGAAAGCTGGGGTGGGGGGGTGGCAAAGGGTGTAAATTATGTCTGGGACAGAGTGTTAAACCGGGACCGACTCAGATCCTCTTCATTTGTAAAGCCATGATAGATGAGACCGTGGCTGCCCTAGGGTTCAGTGACACTGATTAATTGCAGGGTGGATGGTCGGAAAGGGTGACTGAGGGAACAAAGTGAAAATGCAGCAGGTACATGTGTGCTGAGTGGGGTGTGCAGTGACAAGCATTGAGTATCAACAGTGCAGAGGCGGCTGTATACCCGGAGGGGTTTGAGGAATACAGGGCAAGTCCATCCCTGTATTGCAGTTTGTGGGTGTCAAATAGCCAGGTAATGAGGAGCAGCGGAATGCCTCCCGCAGATTTTTTGGTAGAGCCCAGAGATGTCAAGGAATGGGATGTGACCTCCTGGATGAGCACCCTCCATAGCAGGATTCTGTACCCAGGACAGGTCCGTTCTGCCATCCTACATTCAGATGAGCCTCCTCTGCACCTGGGCAATATTCCCTGTGGGCAGTCAAGGAGAGGACCACTCGCTTCAGGGGCAGCTTTGGGCACCTGTTATGTCCTCGCATGGTTGGGGACATGTGCGGCAATGCAAACACCCTGCTGCAGGGGCATCATTTGTATGCAAAAACATTTTTGAGCCCCTGGAAGGGCAGAGCTGAGGTGCTAGTGAACAAATTACTACTTCTGTCTGTATTCAGAGCCATCAGAGGGGTGAACAGTTGAGCAATCTATGTGGTACACTTGATTCTTCTAAACAGTATGCCCCACCGACATTTCCTGTTTATTTCTTTATCTATCTGATTTGATGTATATTTATTCTCACAGTGGTATGTGGTTGCTGTACAATCTGTAAATATTTCCAAAATTCCCTTTTCTGCCTTCCCTCTCTCTCCCAAAAGAGTAATTCAGCTTGCTGATGTAGGCACTAGAAAGGTCCTCCTAAATTTGAGCCCTGTGGTGCCCCTGACGCAGTGCAAGGGTGCCTGCGAGTGCACAACACCTCATCTGTTACCCATATACAGCTTTATTCTAGAAATATTTTCTCTTTGCTATACAATTCATGCTCTGAGGAGGGCTGGGAGAGGATTGGTTCTGAGAGTATAAAGAGCAACCTTTCCAGAGGGATTGGGTCTGCAAGCTCCCAGTGTGCAGAGAAGGGGGTGGTAAGACTCTGACTGATCCCAGGTTCCTGAACTACGTTGCATCCCAGGTGCTGGCAGGGTCTGGGCAGTGTCCTGGCAAAGGCCAGCCAGCCCCTTGGGAAACACTCTGCAGGAAATGCTCGGAAGTAGCCCTATGGCCTTGGACATCCTGAGACCTCTTACAGAATACAAGTAGCCTCGACCTGCTTTAAAGCTTTTGGAGTCAGGGTTCATGCAGTGTCCTCATCCAGCATGTGGTTCTCTGAGAGGCTGGAGCACAGGAGGATGGAGGAATGGGGTCCTGCAGTCCATGAACGACTGGAAAAGATCTTCCTTCTCTCCTCCCTGCTCCTATCTGCTTGTTGGACACAGCTGAGGGTGTCTCCATAATACCAGGGTGACAGCTCCTCTCAACAGTTTACACCCCTCCTGGACGTAAATCCAAGCTGACCTGGGGCTTGCCTTCCTCCAGAGATGACCTTGACCAAGGTTTCTTTGGTAGTTCATTAGCCCCTGGCACACAGCCGTTCTCACCCTTCCCATTGCCTTCCTCCTTCTTTGATGACACTGCAGGCTTGTTTGTCCTTTTCAGTTGTTCTCTAAATCCCTCTTCTTACGCATCCCTATTTCCTCTGTTACTTGAGATCCACCACACTTATTGAAGGATGCTATCTAACCTGATACCTGCACCAAGCCGTATTCGCAAGGTGACATTTAAATTGCTCGTATTGCTGTGCTCTGTACCAAGCAACATCTGGAGTCAGTGGTCAATTCGGCTGCTGTCCATCTTCCTCACTGAGCCAGATGAGCTCCGAGCAGCGCTCGTCTGCCCCTGTTCTGTACTTGAGAAATAAATGACTTGCAGCCAAGGGGAAGCAGCTATAAATGCCGCAACAGCCGGTGCCAGGCTCTTGACAGGAGCGAAGCTCTGCCGTCCAGCTTTGCTTCTCAGGGAGCTTGGATAGAAACAGAGGAACTGACGTAGCAGGAGGCGAGTGAGGATTTTGCCAAGGGAGGCCATCCCATAACATGATTTTAATTGACGGACTGTTCTCCGTCCCAGGGGGACATTCATTTTTGTACCTTGAAATGTTTATCAGATGAGCCTCAGCTTCACAGTAAATGTTCGCTCAAAGAACTGAGCGACAAGAGGGAAGTTGATTGCCTCCGTGTAATGAATACATCATACTGAAGTCCTCGTGAGCCCAGTTTCCATGAAAGCCACAGGTTACTGCAAACAGCTGCTTGCGAGAAGACACACTGACAGCCAGATGTCCCAACCAAACCGTTTACATTAAGGAGACGTTAAAAACTTAGCTCATAGGTGGCCCTAAACCAGGACTTGCAGCATCTTGGCACCTGGCTTGCCTCCTCCTGCTAGTCTCCTTTTGCAACAACCACCCCTTTCCTCTTCTCCCCCGTTCCTGTTACAGACACCAAGTGAATCTCACAGAGTTAATTTGTTCCAACAAAACAGAAGAATCTGTCTAAAGCCAGGGAGGGTTTGGTGCTACTGTGCATTCAGACCTTTGGATCTGCACAGCCAGGGTGCTTCCTGACACAGCGACGGGGGTATTTCTCCATTGTTTTCTCGTACTGCATTTTCAGGATAATTCTTTAGATGACTATAAACAGGGTCTGGCTTTTAGGAGACGGGACAAATACTTAAGTTAGAATCTTCCTTCCATGCCTCTTCTTGTGGCTACCGGGGTCAGGATGTGGCATCAGCCCAGGGCTCACAGCCTCTCCTTTGCTGGAACAAATCTCCCAGGCAGGTGGCTGCGACAGCTGCAGAAGATGAAGTGCATCTCCAGAGCAGCTGCCTCCTGGTGCTGAGGGGGAATGCAGTGTACTGATGGAAGGCTGTGATAAGAGGCCATAGAGTCCTGGACTCGTTGTCCTCCTACAAGAGGTCTGACAGACCCAGGTCAGTTCTCAGCAGAATGGAAAAATCTGAATTTATGACAAAATCACCCCATACAGGAACACAGCAGCCAGGCAGTCACCCTCTCCCTGCAGCAGTCCAAGGAATCTCATCCTTCCCTCCAGCCCAGGTATCATTTCTTCTTTGCTTCTTCAGCCTCGTTCATTCTCTTTTAGTACCTTCCTCAGGGAGAGATAGGGCAGAGTTTTGCTGGCTCTGGGTACGTTTTCATGCCATACCAACCATCAAGTTGAGCGATCGCTGTCCCCTGTGCAGCAGGGGGACAAATGTCCCTGTGGGGTGCCCCAGGGCTGGGCAGAGCAAGAGGTGACATGTCTCCTGCTCTTGGGCACGTCCTTGCAGAGCTGGGGCTGGCAAGCAGGGACCTTGGTGCTCTGTCCCCTGCGCAATCACTGCACTGCACTCCCTTGCAGTGGGGCCACTGGATTGTGCACAAATCCTGGGAAACTGCCCCAGTAGCAGACACCCATCCTCCTTCCCTTTCCTGCCCCCCCACCATGCCAGAGGTACCAGAGATGGAAGCAGCCGCTTAGAGCTGTCGCTGGCTTTAAATCCTCCTCTTCATCATTTATGTCTGTGGCTGTGACCTCCTAAATCCTTCACAGACGTGGAGACCAGAATCAATCCCTGCCTGGCGCTGACCTAAAACAACATTCCCTGCAGTGGTCATGCAGCAGACGGGAGGGTACCACTGGCTCATGCCAGCATGGGGGCACCCCCTGTCTGGGCTGTGGGGTGAGGGAGAACAGGGCTGCTTCATCCCTTCGGGGGCCGAGAGCTCGGGATCTGGCCACAAGCAGCCATGAGAGTGACTCCCCCCTTGCTCGCTCCCCTGCTGGCCTCTCCCGGTTCCTGCCCTTTAATAAGGCACTAAATTACCGTTTCTGGCAGGGATGAGGTTGGTCAGCGTTTAGGAAGATTTCATTTCCAGTGTTTGAAAAGGTGGTCGTTCTGACCCGACAGCCTTCCGCGGGGAGCACTTGGGCAATACCCAGGCCTTGATTTATGGTGTTAAATTGGCAGCCCAAGAACTGCTCCTGTAATTTATTACCCAGGCTTCAGCAGAAAGCCTCTCTCTCTTTCTCACCCCTCCCCTCGCCTACTCTGTCTCTTCCTCCTTACTTTTTCAAAGAGGGAACAGCCGACAGGCAAAAGCTAAATCTAACATTTTCACATGACTTCATTATCCTCCTATGATGTAAATGACTCAAAGCAGTGAAACCCATCAAAATTGGGGGTTTGGCACTGGATACCTAAAGCAAGGGGCCTGTTTCCCTTTGGCCTCATCGTCCCCTCTCTCCCTTGACCACGGTGCTGTGTGTTTTCATCATCCTTGTAGAGCCAACCCATCGTGTGCTGCATGCTACCCGTAATCATTGGTTCTTTCCTGGGACTGACTGCACCGAGCACAACTGCAGATGCAGCAGATGCTCCACCAGGAGCACAGCCCCCAGCTCATGAGACATCAGCAGGTCTGGATGGCCTGGCCCCTGGAGTTCTTGCCAACCTTGAGCAGCTCCTCACACACAGGAATGTTTACCCAGATAAGAGGCATGAGTATGTATCAGGAAGCAAGGACAACATGGTGATATTTAGCAAACTCCAGAAGTTCATGGAAGTGTGGTGGAACAAGTAGTGAGAATGAGAAGGTAGAAAAAGCCAAGGGAAATGGAGACAAAGTCAGGTTGTGCAGGAGAGAAGTGAGAGATGGGTGAAGACAGCTGTGAAGGGTAGGAGAGAGGTGATGAGAAGGGAGGAGAGAAAGAGAAGAACTTGGCCAGCAGACATGTAGGTGTGTGCTGGGGAGTTCACTCACGGTGTTGTTGCTGCCAAGTTGTAGTTACTCACCGCTGGGTTTTGTCTCAGGGGCTGGTCACAGGCACTCATCATCCCTCCCCTCTTGCTATGGCTGGGAACCACTCTGGACAACTATTCATGGGTTGCTTGCTTGTCCTTTGGATGGACAACTTCCCCATGTTGGTGCCGTGCTCCGGTCCATGGACACCTGCACGAGCATAGACAAATGGGCTGGGGAAGGGCCACTACTCACTTTTGGTGGTAGAAATGTTTACAATAAATAAGGGTGACCGTGGAGCTATGGCCTTAGAGAGGTGAGAGCTATCCTTTGTGAGGAGGACGGTACTCTGGCTAAATGCCCTCCTCCCAGGCATTGTCAGCTCACATAAAAGTTCATCCTGTGAGCTGACCATGGGTCCTGCGCTCATCAGCCTTCCCTGAAATAAAAGGGAGGATCAACACAGATGTTTAAGAAACAATTTCTGTGTCAATTCTCTCTTCTCTTTCGATGATGTAGGAGATCGGGTGGCTGCTCTGGAGAGTGGCATGAGTAGATTTATTCTGTGATAGCGGGACACAGCTCAGCCCATGACATCATTACTATGTATGTGTGTGTGGAGCTAACGAGGCTCAAATTGCCTAGTCGGGCTTGTCTTTAAGGATTAAATTGATACATGGATACCATCTTGTGTTGTCCAAGCAGGGCCAACCTCCTTGGCTCTTCCCTTCCCCTGGAATGCTGACCCTTGAGCCCCTCACCCCCGGGGAGGAGTGAAGAAGTGTCCCTCATACAGCCTTGGAGAAGACGTGGTTTCCTACAGCCTTCCGTCCAGCCTTCCCACTCCAGCGGGAGAGCTCTGTAGCCGGCTGGGGATGCCGAGATGCCCTCTCACCTCCTGCCGCCGTCTCTGCCCTCTGCTCCGGCGCTGGGGGGGCTCTGGCCAGCCCTTCCCCGGCGTAC